AGTTGGCAAAGTTTTGTAATAGCCGCCCAGATGACTGGGATGTCTTACTCCCTCCACTGTTGATGGCCTATAGAACAGCAGAGCATAAAGCCACTGCATATACTCCAGCAAAGTTGATGTTTGGTCGGAAACTTCTGTTGCCAGTGGACCTGAAAACAGGACGCCCACCTTACGAAAAGTTGCCTCAAAATGTGCCAGAGTTCGTGAGAGTGTTATCTGAAAGGAAGGATGATATTCACCATCAAGTGTGTTCAAACAAGAGATATACTGAAGTCAGCTTTGTACCAGGAGCCTAGGTGTGGTTATATAATCCCAGGAAGTCCAAAGGGAAGTCTCCTAAGTTGTCTTCTCCAAGGCCCATATGACATAGTGGATCGTCTCTCAGACGTGACTTTCTGAATAAAATGTGGTCAGCGAGGTAAACCAAAGGTGGCGCATGCCAACAGGCTTTGGCATTATCATGGTCCAAGTCATTTTAGTTGGAACGAAGTGAACAACAGAACAAATGACGCTGCTGAAGACGTGTCACCTGAAAAAGCCACTGTCGAAAAAGAAACTCTACCCGGTTTTGAGAAGGAAAACAGTGAAGCCATTAATGAAGTTACTACTACTGATGTGACTGTTACCGATAATGGGATATTTCCTGATGGAGCAGATGAATCCCACGCGAAGCAGAAGCCAATATGACGGAGACCAGTATGAAAGAAGAAACGTCCTGTAAAATTAAGTGACTTTGTTGTATTTTAATTTTGTTTTTGTAAATTCTGTACATTTTAATTAAGTTATTGTTAATTATCTATTGGTTTAATGTAAGTGGCTATTGTTTTATGACGAACAATACTAAGGAAGGGGCAGTGTTACGACAGCGGAAGTCACGTGACGCTGGTAACACGTGATGAACTTATCAAATGATCATGAATTATCGGGGAAGACTGAGTTTGTTCGGGACGCCCCTTCTTTTGTATATAAACTTGGCAGAAAAAGTTTGCGGGATTGAATGAAGAGAGTTCCCAGTAATTTGCGATTCTGTTTCGAGCTAGT